GTGGAGCTGTGCTTTCTGCAGGATGTTTTCTGCCCCGTGTCCCTTCGCTGTTGAACACAGGTGCAGGCTGTTGGGTGTGAATCCATGTTGTCTGTATCTCAAACTGAAGCACAAATGGTTCCTGTATTCTGCAATTTTTCTGGGAACCCATTTAAAGTCCCGGACAATTTGAAAGGTGTTTGTCCTAAAATGCATAGCTAAATGTTTCTGGCAATTTTCTGTCATCCTGGTCATGGTTATCCCAAAAGTGCTTTTTCAAGAGGACTTTCTTGTTCTTTGTTTTTTACTTTTAACTCCCCTCCCCCACTTTTTATCCAAGAAGTTTGAGCAGTTCCAAGGCAGCTCAATACCCATTTGCACTATTCAGGTGATCGTGAGATCACAGACAAACATCCAAGTGGCAACAGCAGCAACAACAAAACACACACACACACGAATAACATTTTAATTGAAAGTTGATTTTCATTACTTCAATTCCCAGCAGAAGACTCTATTAATTCAAAAGGCTTTATCAGAGGAGTGGAGCAGCTATGCAGAAGATCAAGGATGGAAGAGTATTTTCCTGGTTACTGAACAACTAAAGTTGAGTCAGCAACAGCAACACAAATGAACCTGAAAAGTTCCTCTCTTGTCTAAACACAGTCTTTGATGATAAAGGCTAGATAGAGAGCTTATCTCTTGAGATACCTAATTAGGTTGTGATTCCACATATTTCTCATTCTCAGCATCATGCCTCTAATCAACAGCTCTTGTTTACACAGAAACACAATCTTCATAAATTAGTAAATGCCTCTTATCCAAATATCAGTTTATGCTGAAAACATTTGCAAGTCTTTCCTTTTAATCAACACAGCAACATGCCAGGTTGCCAAATATTATCATAAGCTTCATAACTCAATTCATTTGGGGCTTGGTCTCTTTATTGCCCTGCGCTTCATGATTTGCTCAACGCAGGTCTATTTATAAACCTTATGAAGTGACTGCCAAAAATGATAGTCTTAAATTATATTCCTTTCTCTAAAATATTTAGTGTGGTTGTTCTTTGTTCTAGTTCCTTAGTTTGTGTCATCTAATTATTTGAGTGGTGACAATGGAATATAGAGGAGTACAATGAAATGTCACAAGTAGGAGTTTTTTTTCATGTCCTTTTCTAGCATGAAACGTTTTCTTGTCTTTTTAACTACAACAAATATTTATCTGAGAAAACTCAAAAAAGAAACCTGTTCATTGTAAAAAGAAAAAGCATTGTAGTTTGGATAAGTGACATACAGTATTATAATTCCCATTAAGTAGCCCAAAGACATTGCTTCAGGCCATGCCATGTTAAAAGGATGGCAGAATATTCAGAACAGATAAGAGGTAACCATGAAGTTATCCTTGAGATGATACTTTGATCTCCTTAATTTGGCAGCCACTGAAATGGAATTAAAATGTGTAAAGGAGCTTTGCAATTTTCCTAAATAAACTCTAGCTTGTTTGCATTAATATGGCTTTCAAAATTTCTTCAAGCATAACCCTTAAGTAAAGCATGTGACAATGATCTAAGTAGAAAGTTATGAAGGCATTGGTGACATAGTCCCCCTCCCTCAAATTCCACCATTAGCAATGAAAGACTTTCAACACTTATGCCCTGAATGTCAGGAAGCAGCAAAGTGGCTTCGAAACACAATACAGCATCCAATTGTAGCCCAGCTTGTTCAAGGAAACCATGCACACCAATATTTATGCTTAGTATGGATTAATATACAGGTTTTAATCAACCACTAATGTTAGGTTTGTGTGTGTTGTGTCTTGTTCCTAAAATAATGCATGTAAGCTGCTTTGATCCCTTGGAATGCAAAATATAATCCTCCTGGGATAATTGTTGACATTATTATCACTTTTGACCTTAAGAGATGGAATCTAAAGACTTCAAAGAGTCTCTCACTTCTCTTTTCCATGGATGTCAGTGACTATCTTCACTATTCCCTAACTGTGGCATTGCTCAATTTTTAGCCAAGGCACAGTGCAGTTACTGCAAATGACATTATGACATAACACCATGGTTGGCTCTAACTTGAGAGCTTCAGTGTCTGGTCAGCAGACGTTGCTGATGGTGCCAAAGTCAAGACACTCCAGAAGAAAATATCTCCCTTCCTTATTTTTATATTATGGAATGGCCTTTGGTAATGTGGTGGTACAAGAAGATAGGGAAAGCATGCAAAATGTATTGTGCAAAACTCTTTCAAATCCCTTAATAACTGCTCCACTATGAGTCACATGACCTGAAATGTACAGTTTTACAGTGTAGGAGTAGCAGCATTCTCAAATGCTAGAAATGCCCTGAAGCTGTATTGCTCAGCCTTAATGACTTTAAGATATGTGGACTTCAAGTCCAGAATTCAGCGTGCCAGCTGGAGAATTCTGGGAGTTCAGGTCCACTCATCTTAAAGTTGCTAAGCTTGAGAAATGCTGCTTTAAATTGCTGCCATCAAATGTGGCCTCTCTTTACATGTTTTCATTCCCATGTTACTTTTGGTTGGATAAAAAGCAAAATAGAGAAAGCATGCAGGAAATGGCTTTTCCAATCTCTTTGCCAGCACTGGCCATGGGATATAACTTTTTTTTTGAGTAATAAAGTAACAGATTGCATCTCTTCCTTCTTGTACAGTAGTTTCTCTGTGTATGTTCAAGCAATAAGGGAGGCAGAAGAAGATAATGGGCAGAGGAAGCTTATAAATGAACAAACAGCAAAATTTGAACCACTGTTTTCCACCTGCCTTTCCCAGAGGGATCCATTTGGATCCATTTTTCTGGAATATTTTTCTCTCTGCTGCCCCTGCACTAATCCAGCCCATTTTGTAAGATGATCTTATTTATTTGCCTAATTCTTATTTATTTGCCTAGACCTGCACATCAAGTTTGGTTTGTTTCTGTTCTGTTTTCGGAAATAGTAGCTGTCCTGCTTATGGGAAGTCAGACAGATAGAGATGGACAGAGTAAGGAGACTCTTTTAATAATTTTTTTCTAACTTTTTATTGGCTTGGAAACAGTCAAAAGGCGAAAAATGCCCTTGACTTGAACTTGGCTCCTGGGGTGTGCACAGTCATATCCATGTCATTTTCTTGGCAACAGCATGGAAGCGCTTTGCATGGGCATTTTCAGGGATGTTTCTTCTCCATTGAGCCTACACCCCAGGAATTTCCTGGAGGTTCTGCCGCATCTAGTTCCTAATCCCTTTATCTCTCTGAGTCCAAAGGATTCATCAGGTCTTAACTATCTGCTACAGTAATGTAGCATTTAGAAAGAAATGCTTAAGATCGATGTGTGATTTAAAAAAATAATTAAGTGTAAGATTTGACTGTGTTCCAAAGATACACAAATGGTCATATTTTCTTTTCTAACTTTTTTGCCTTTTGTTCTTTGCTCCCCATCTGGCTTTGTGTCACTACAGAGAAGATTCTTCCCACTGACATGCTGTTTCTGGAAATATGTTGACTTTTTCTGCTGCGGATGTTTTGCTTTCTTCTTTCGTGCCAGAACTGAAACATAAGCTGCTGGAATGAGCAGAGGAGCAGCTTTCTGATATGCACTAACTCCAAACAATATACTTAATTAAATGGAATGTTCTTATATTTCTTATACTGATTCCTGACTACCTTGTCTATATCTTGTTAAATGTATTTCATATTTTGTGGAATGTACCTGTTCAAAAATTATTAGTGATTATTGTTACTAAGTCGCCTTTTATGTAGCATAGGTTTCCTTCTATTGATTTATATGTATGTACTAGGAAATGTATAACCTTTCTTTAGAATGAGTATTTACAAGACTGTATACAAAAAAACCAATGGCAAGAACAATATAAACAATAGGTTCAAAATCTGCCTGTTATTATTAGGAACCCAATAGTTAGGGCTTTAATATGAAGCACAGTACGATTTTCCATAGTTGATTTACCAATTGTTTGCAGAATCCACTTTTCTAAATTCACCTAACATTCTCAATACACTTTTGCAGCACCACATGCTAAAATACTATAGGCTTATTTGTTATGGACAAAATTGTGATTTATAGCTGCATTTTCACAGTTTTTTCCTTTTTTTAACAAATTATAATCACATAATTGTGATTGACAATGACAAAAAGCTATTTTTTTTCCTAAAAGAAAGTGAGCAAAAAGTTTCAAAAGAAAACGATTCATTATAGATAATGAGATAATCCATCTTTTGAAACTCGGATGCATCCCTGTATTTACAATAAATTATGTTCTTGGGCAATAGAAAAGATCATCTGAACAAGTTGTTATTCGTACCCATTTCATGTATGCAAAATCATGTTTACACTTATATATGTTATCAAATACATGCTTGACGAAATAAATAAATAAATAAATAAATAAAAAGTTAACACCGGACACTCCTCTGTATCACTGGATATCTCAAGCTGAGGCGTTTTATATAGAAAACGAGTCACGTTCTTCCTTTCTAAAGATGCACGCTAAGACCTTTGAAGCTGAGCGTAGTGATTGCTGTGAAGCTGAATCAGCTGCCTTTACTAGAAACCGTCCACGTTTTCGGGGGAAGCGGCTTAAAATCGTTCTGAACGGCTCAGGAATGTTTCCCTCTCGCAGCAGGGACCCCCCCCTTCATCCCCATTTCAGGGTCTTTCGCTACCACAGCTACTGTCGGAGCGAACCACCCGCAAGGGTGACGATGTGACGCTTGGGAAATAGCATCGTCCCTGGGCGGGAGTCTCAGGTAGCCAGCAGATTGTCCCCGACATCTTTGAATGCAGACAGAAATATTTCCACTTTAGGGGTTCCCGGGGGATCCCGGAATTACACCCCGGAGCACCCAAGCCCCAGGGAAGGACCCCATCCTCGTGGGAATGGTTTCTTCTGGACCTGTTGCTTGCCAAGGGCTGGAAGGCTCATGTACTGCAGAGGGCGGCAGAGATAAGGGCGGGTGACAAGAAGGGGCGGGCGTGGCGGAGCAGGACTGCTGCTTCGCGGCAGAGTAGAAAGCGGCAACAAAAGGCATCTCCGGAGCCCGAGACTTCCCGCCCTTCCACCTGTGGAGCCACTCCAGCCATATCGCAGGGAAATGGGCGGCCGCGCCTGCGGGTGGCAGCTGCTGCTCCCGGCTCTGCTGCTCCTCGGCGGCGTTCAGGGTCAGCTTCGAGGTGAGCGCTCCATTCCGACGAGGCGACGGGGAATCCCGAAGGGTTGAACCCCGGGCCTCTGCCCAACCGCCGTGGCCAGAGTGGCCACGGTCGAACCCTTTGCTCTGGTCACCAAATCCGTGAGGATGGGTCCGCGTCTTGAGGGCTGCAGTCCGGGAGTTCCTCTCCTCGATCTCCCCGGCCCCGGCCCTTAAGTCGGAGACGGCATGCCTGGTTCGTCCGGACGCGCAAGGCGAGGGCGCGTGGAGCCGGAGCTAAAGGGGAGGGAGGTCAGCGCGCCCGAATCAGCGGGGCGCGATGCGCCGGCGGCGGAGAAACACCTTCGATTTCTTCGCGTGGTTTTTCCCCCCAGCTCAGACGGGGAAGGTGGAAAAGCTCCCCGGAGTTCTTGCTCCGGCGGTAGCACGTGCTAAAAGTTAAGTTTTCGGTCTCCACCAAAGGGGAGAAGAAACACAAAGGCCAGCGTTAAGATGCCCAAAGTGGCTGGAGGCTTCATTGATTTATCACGCGGTTCTTGAATCCGGGAAAGATCCTTCTTCTGGCCTCGAGAGCAGCCCTGCTACCCCTCGCCTCGATTCGCTTTTCCCCACCGGCTTGGCGCTACCAGTATCCCATCCGCCCCTCTGTTCTTGCCGGCCATCCTGTTTGCAATTTACAACTCCCTTCCACTCTACTCTTCTCCGCTGTTTCATCTTCTTGCGGGAAGGGGGTTTCGCCTTTTGCCGGTTGGGTTGAAGGTCCCCCGCCCATTTGCTTTAAAAAGTAGGGTTTTTGTATTCTTTGTTTTGTTTTCAATTGGGTAAAACAAGAAAAAGTATTAAATTAAATATACTTTTTAAAAAGTTTAGAGATGTTTGTCTTCTTGTGGGCTTGGTGGAATTGCCCTCAAGGCTGGCATCTTAACTCTCAACAAAAATATATATCTAGACTGACAGTATTCCGCTTCCAGCCTACAGATGCTCTTTTCTTTGAACAGTGGCTTAGTCAGACATGAGAACTATTAGGGGTTCTAGAGCCACTGAAACTTTGAAGGCTGCTGCCCCCCCCTTTTTTCCCCATTCCCCCTGGGAGTTTGCCAAACTCCATTCCTAGCAAAATGGAATTTGGGATTTCATAGGCTATGAAGAGGATCTTGCATCCTGGGCTAGTCAGACCCATGAACCATGCCAGGGGAGTGCTGGATTTCATGAAGTTGCTTTTGTGGGACTGAAACAAGTGTGTAATCAGCTATTCAGAACAGATAACGGTGATAGCATATACTACTGTGGGTTCTGATGAATGGGAGAAACAAAGTTTTGGAATATATCTTGTACCTTGAAGACTAGAAATTAAAAAAAAATCTTGCAGAACTGCTGTAGGTGGAAAAATATATTCTAACCACATTATAAATTGTCTGTAAAGATTACAGCTGGATCTCTATTCTGAATCGGGGGAAGGATGAGGAAGAGAATAAAACTATTAAGATTGAAAACACATGTTGTTTTATAAAGATACAATTATTAATGCCAAAAGTTTTTAAAAATTATTTGGTAGGAGAAATCATGTCTTAATTCTCTCTCTTTCTGTGTGTGTAGCAAACAACAGCATAATCATATACATTTCAATTTAAAAGTCAATCAACATAATTTTATAATTAGGAATTATTTTAAGATTCAGGGAGACTGAAACAGGTTAAGTGAACAGTAATAAAAGATGATCAAAGAATTAGAAACTAAGCCAGTGGTTCTCAAACGGTTTCACCCCTTCCCTGATGTCAATGTCATTGCCCCTCCTCTCCAAAGATTTTGTAGCTTTACACATCATGGCAGTATGTCAGCCTCTTTTTACTTCATATTTTATTTGTTTATCAACATATAACATACAAACAAAAGTAATGGGAAAGTAGTGGAGGAAATAGGAAAAAGGAAAAAATGAAGGGGAAAGAAGAAGACTCTTGAGCACAGTAGAATAAGATAACATACAACCTCAACTTTTTACTTTTATGTAGTAATATATACTAGCCATTTCTATAACAACAAACCTACCTAATACGTTTCTTTTTTCCCCAACTCAAACACCAAAATATAGAAGCAGTTTCCAAGTAAAAAGAAAGTTAAATTTTATACTTCTCCTTAATTGAAGCAGTCAATTTGTCCAGCTATGCTTACTCCATCAGCTTTTGCAGCAAGTTATCTTTTGTGGGAATTAAAGTATCTTTCAGTTTTTGTGCATGAAGTATTCTTGCTGCTGTCAGCATACATTTGAAGTTCTTTTAGGCAGTGGCAGTCTGAAACTGGATCCTCAAGTCACAAACTCCATTACATCCAGGAGATGCCCAAATTAGTGCCCCTCCCCCAATCCTGGTAACTAACCCTGGTTTTAAGAACACTGAATTAAGATTTATGAAGAGACATGGAAGAACTGGATATGTCTTAACAGTATATATAGTCCTTGACTAGCAACAGTTCGTTTAGTGACCGTTCAAAGTTACATCACTGAAAAAAGTGACTTATGACCATTTTTCACACATTACTGTTTCAGCATCCCCATGGTCATTATATTTGGATGCTTTATAACTGGTTCATATTTATGACGGTTGCAGTGTCCCAGGGTCATGTGACCACTGTTTGCAACCTTCTTGCAAGCAAAATCAATGAGGAAGCCAGATTCACTTATTACCATATTACTAATTTAATAACTTCAGTGATTCACTTAACAAAGGTGTCAAGAAAAGTTGTAAAATTGGGCAAAACTCACTTAAACAAATTTCTTGCTTAACATAAGTTTTGGGCTTTATTGTGGACGTAAGTTGAGAACTTCCTGTATTGGTAGCTATTGAATCAGGTGATTGACTCATTTCAGTGGATATGTTCAAACAGAGGGACAAGCACCTCCCTGGGTTGCTTTAATTTGGATTCCTACATGATGAAAAGGGTTAGACTTGATGGCCTAAAGTTCTGCCTTCTGTTCGCATGATTCTGTGTCCCTTGATAATACTAAGATTTCTCAACCTTAGCGACTTTTAAGATGTGTGGACTTCAATTCCCAGAATTACTTGGTTTCTGGGGAATTCTGGAAGTTGAAGTTTACACATCATAAAGTTGTTAAGATTGAGAAACTCTTGACAAAGACAATTATTTCGAGAATCACCATTTCCTGCAGATCACACTGGAATTTTTTTGTTATGAGTAAACCATTTCTGTCATCTATTAAGTATGCAATAATGTTTTCTGAAGTAATCTATGGACCATTTTTGCCAAATGGTCCTAGATTATCCCAGGAGTAGGATAAAGTTTTGCTTGAATTTTAGAAAATTGGACTGATTGCCACATATTGTTAGTTTATCGCAAAGGAAAGACTAGCAGGCTTCCTGGTGCTTTCTAGATGTGCTAGATTACAATTCCTAGCCACAGTGTTATAGAATGATAATTATAATCTGGTACATTTGGAGGGGTTGGAGAAGATTGGTACAGCAAAAGCATGAAATCCGAAGAAATCTTTAGTAGGTGTTTATTTTGGACCAGTACACTGGTGTATAGATACAATCTTTCTCTTTCTAATTTCTCTTTTCTGGAAGTGCTGGAATTCCACATACCAGAATTTATTATTTGAGAATTGTGTAACTTTTACTCATACTACATCTGGAGAGAACAGCTTATGGATATGTGTATGTGAGGTGTATTTACTATGTGTATCAGAGAAATTGTGCACTTTTTTTTGGTTTTCTGCCTAAATCTCATTGTGATTATATGCATGATCATCCAGATTTCATTACATATTTGCTGTTACAGAAACTTTCTATGTATTCCAAGAAATGCACTTATCTGACAAAAATTCACTGTTAGAGATAGGTAAATGGATGTGATAAATTCAATTTTGAGAAATCAACATATTGATATTTCATGGTAGAAAAATAATTTTAAATATAATTTTGATATGGTGTAATAGTTGCTTACATAATAGATAGTATCTAGATTCTACTTTATTACATTTAATACTGGATTTCTTATAACATGCAATGATGAAAAAAGCAAACTGTTAAAAAAGAACATGAGTTGGTTGGTGTGTTTTATTTATCTACGTCTTTCTTTTCTCTCTGCTAGATGCTGCAAAACAAGACTTTTCTTTACTTGCAAATTTGTGACCTGCTTTTCATTACTGTATTGGAAATGCTGTGCTCCATTCACCAATTTTTACAATATCTCCTTTCATTTTTAAGTGCTCTTTAATTTCCACCCGATTTTCTGTAATTCCCTTCTATAGAAAATGTGCAAAAAATAGAATAACTCTACAGTATCTTTTAGTTAATACCGTTTGAATTACTTGTTCAGCAGATTGCAAACAATTTATTTCTCTCCTGAACACATTTTTAAAAAATGACTTGTTAATAGCTCAGTGGTATTATAAGCATTTTATAGTTAGCATTTTACAGTTGTATAAGGGTAACTCCATATCATTTAGTTCTGAGATAATAAGATTTTGGACAAAAGACTATGAAGCAGAGATTGTAGTATTATATAGATTTTTAAAATTATCTTAAAGGGCAAAGTGTTCATTCCTGCCAGTTTGGTATAAGCAGTTGGAATTGTCCTTGTATTAAAAATACATGTATCATCGTCTTCTATGAGGAGAGATTTTTGTATTGCCATCTAGACCAAGAGTGTCAAACTGGTGGCCCATGGGCCGAATGTGTCATGCGCAGGACACACCCACCGCGAAGGGAAATAAATGTCACAATATGTCATGTGACACTTGTGATCTAGACAGTACCAAGAAATAAAAAAGGGACATAAGTCATGTTTTAAGCTATGGTTTGCTGAAAATCCATAATACCTGTCCACACACTAATAATACATGTAGCATGGTATTTACATACTAAATGGTAAGATAGGCTTTATAAGTTATTGTCAATATTTAAAGCACTTTGCATTTTTTTCAGTCTAGACAGACGCGCTGGATGGGATACTATTTCCTTTCATTCTAAGCAGTAAATACATTTTCAGTGGGCTTAACCATCAGTC